CCCTATTCCATTCCATTCTCTATTCTATTCCATTCCCTATTCCATTCCATTCTCTATTCTATTCCATTCCATTCTATTCTATTCTATTCATTATCATGTAAAACTTAAAACCTGATGCTATTATCTTATTCTTTTGCACCAAGGGAGTTGGAAGCCAATGAATGGGAGGAAAAGCCAATGAATGTTGCTTATTATTTTACTTTATGTATTGTATGTGTTATTGTTTGTATATCCCTTCCCCTCATTTTATGTAAGCCGCCCTGAGTCCCCTCAGGGAAAAGGGCGGCCTATAAGTATTAATAAATACTCAAATACTCAAATACTCAATGTCTTTTCCTTCTTGTTTTCCCTTGAGCCTACTCCTTTCCCCCCTCCTTTAACTCCCTCCTATTTTCTTTTGCATTTCTGTATTTTCCATTGTAAACTCTTTAAAAAAAAAAAAAAGCCAAGAGAAGAAAAATACGTCTAACTACTCTTTGTACTTAACTCCAGGTTCACTGCACCCGGACGGACGATTCCTGGGCCTCCAGAAGTCCTGGGGATGGACAACCAGACATCCTTGATATCCGTCAAGGATTCCTGCACGTACCATGAGGAGTTCAAGCGGATCCTTCTGCCGGTGGTCTACTCCATCGTCCTGGTGTTGGGGTTTCCCTTGAACTTCGTGGTCATCGTCCAGATCTGGCTCTCCCGGAAGATCCTCACTCGTACCATGATCTACATGTTGAACCTGGCGGTGGCTGATCTCCTCTACGTCTGCTCTCTCCCGCTGCTGATCTACAACTACTCCCAGAAGGATTACTGGCCCTTCGGCGACTTCACCTGCCGCTTCGTGCGCTTCCAGTTCTACACCAACCTCCACGGGAGCATCCTTTTCCTCACCTGCATTAGCCTCCAGCGCTACCTGGGCATCTGCCACCCGCTCTCCACCTGGCACAAGAAAAGGGGGAAACGCTTCACCTGGGGCGTCTGCGCCCTGGTTTGGATTGTGGTGACCGCCCAGTGCCTGCCCACTTTCCTCTACGCCTCCACCGGCATCCAGAGGAACCGGACGGTGTGCTACGACCTGAGCACGCCGGAGAACTCCGCCGGGTACTTCCCGTACGGCATCACCCTGACCGTCACGGGGTTCTTGATCCCTTTCCTCGCCATCTTGGTGTGTTACTGTTGCATGACCAAGATCCTGTGCCAGAAGGACGAGATGATCGGGCTGGCCGTCCGCAAGAAGAAGGACAAGGCCATCCGGATGATTATCATCGTGGTCCTCGTCTTTGCCATCAGCTTCTTCCCGTTCCACCTGACCAAGACCATCTACCTGATCGTCCGCTCGTTCCCCGAGGTGCACTGCCTCACCCGCCAGGCCTTTGCCATCACCTACAAGTGCACCCGTCCCTTCGCCAGCATGAACAGCGTCCTGGATCCCATCCTCTTCTACTTCACCCAGCGGAAGTTCCGGGAGAGCACGCGGCACTTACTGGATAAAGTCAGCTCCAAGTGGAAGCACGATTCGTGATGACGGACGAATCGGATCTTCCCCCGAGGACAGGCGCGTGGTCTCCTCCCTTGGCATCACCCCTACTTCTGCTCTTGGCCCCCCCGGGGCCCAACTGGCGGGAGAAAACAGCCTACCCGTGCACTGTAGGACCAGCTCTGGAGGCCATGCCAATCCTCGAGAAGGTCTCTTCTTGTGGAGAAGACGAACGATACGGTGTAAATACTATCTTGGCCATCTGCTCCTTTCATCCATAGGTTTTGGCTGGGATAATTCTTCAACTGTTGGAAGGTGGTTGATTGGACCAACGGCTCGGGAGATCTCCCGATCTCCCATTTGTGTGAAAAGAGACCAAGCAGGAAAATTCTAAGCAGGAATCGTGAAGTCTGCTTTTATAAACCACGAGAAACGTCACCATTGGGAGGAAAATCCCAAGCTAATATTTGTAATCAATGGGGCAGAGAATTTCCCAATCACATCCTTTCTAAGTGCAGACTTCTTTAAAAAAAAAAAGTAATATGGGATTTTTACCCGGGAATAAACTAAATATTGACATTCTGGTGAATGACGAAAAGTGCCAATGGCGCCATTTTTAATTTAATATATGTACAGTTAAGGACCTACTGTGATACATTTTTTTGGTGGAACAACAGTCTTGGAAGGGACCTTGGAAGGTTTTCTAGTCCAACCCCCTGCTGAAGCAGGGAACTTTATAGCATTCCGGTCAAATAATTTTTCCAGACTCTTCTTAAAAACCCGCAGTGTCGGAGCACCCACAACTTCATGAGGCAAGCTGTTCCACTGGTTAATTGTTCTCCCCGTCGGGAAATTTCTCCTTAGTTCCAGGTTGAATCTCTCCTTCTTTAGTCTCCATCGTTCTGTGGATTGACTAGAGACGTTGGCATCAATGTATGGAAAGATTAAAAGCGTGGTGGCCTTCTTACCCAGCTAAGAAGAAATTGCAGCTGTTCAAACACTCCAGTCTTTAGTTATGGGGGCTGGGGGCTTGAGAAGGCATGGGGGGGGGGCACCTGTTAGGATCCAAAACTATGTATCTCCCTTGCACCACAGTTCTCCGTCCTCTGTGCATCCTGGAATATCTTCCCTGGATAAATCCGGCACCAGAAAAAAGGATTTTGACTAAGAAAAATGGTATTTATGCACTTAAGTTTGAAAAGTGGACTTGGAAGCAGAGTTGGGAATTCCCCTAATTTCTCCCCCCTCCCCCTTTTTTTATCTTAATCTCTTGATTCCAACAAATTGTGCGTTGAGGTTTTATCGTACGCGGGGGGTCCTTGACTTACAACCGTTAGTGACTGTTCAAAGTTACGACGGCATGGAAAGCAGTGACTTGTGGCTATTTTTTTCACCGCCACAACTCTTGCAGCATCCCCAGGGTCACGTGATCAAAATGCGGACGCTTGCCAACTGGTTCATCTTTACGACGGTCGCAACGTCTCCCTGGGGTCACGCAGTCCCCTTTTTGTAACCTTCCGACAAGCCAGGTTCACTTAACGACTTAAGAAGTGCAGGGATTCACGGAACAAATCTGGCAAGAGAGGGTTGCAAAATCTGCTTAACCCCCTGTCTCGCTGAGCGACGGAAATGTTGGGCGCCGTAACGTGAGGACTACCCCATGCAATAATTAATGTGTACATGGAATATTCCTTGGAGGTTTTGGATGATTTATGTTTTGCCTCCACTTCTGAGCCTCTTTGCTTTGGAAATATGTAAAATAAACCGAAAGGGTCTGAAAATAAACTGCAGAAGGATCTTGGCGGCTCAGAGCTTCGCGCATGAATCCAGCCCGGTCACGGATGGCCCTCGGTGGGCTCGGGGCCGGGTTCAAGGGGCTTCCAAAACAACGTCGTCTCCAAAACGCCATCCCTGACTGCAGGTTTGGGATTCGGGAACTGAAAGAAAAGAAGGGAAATCTGACCCGATAAAATTGTATTTAATGACTGGCATCCCTTAAACGAAGCATAAAGTGGTTGTATTTTGGGCAGTGAAATGGCAGCTATTTTTCAGTTCAGCCTAAACAGTCACGTCAGTTGGAAATTTGTTCCTAGAGTTCAGTAGAGGGGAGAGGGGAGCCAGGAAGAGGCTTTTTTAAGGAAAGCAACTGATTGCACTGATGCTGTTATCTAGTTGGGTTGCGAAATGTCTGCAAGGAAACCACCAAGATCAGAGAGCAGCAAGGACCCTACAGTCCTCCTCCTCCTCCCTTTCTACTACTCCTCCTCCACCACCACCACTTCCTCCTCCTTCTCCCTCTCCTCTCCACAAATCCACATCCCTTCTAGCACTGATGATGTTACCTAGTTTGGTAATAAAACGTCTGCAAGAAAACAATCAAGGAGCCCACAGTCGTCGTCGTCGTCGTCCTCCTCCTCCTCCTCCTCCTCCTCCTCCTCCTCCTC